TCAGCGGGTCCCCAGCGGGTCCCCAGCCTCGCTTACCCGCCCCGACCTCCTCGGCAGACGCGCCCGGCGGCCTCGGGCAAGTCCTCCCCCACCCCGGCCTCGCTGTCCCCAACCAACCGCGCATCTCAGCGGGGGTCGCCCTCGGGTCGCTCCCAGCCGTGCCCCCTGGAAGGGTCCCCCTGTGCGCAGACCCCTGACACCACCCCGGAGGGTCCTGCTTCTGGTTCCGCCACGCTCCCAGGCTTCGAGGACCAGCCCTGGCTCTGCTCTCTGGACCTCAGTTTCCCCATCTTTAAAATGAAGACGCTGGAATAGACGTGGGGGAGGGAAGATGCGTGAAGAGGGAGGGGCGTCCCCGAGGCGGGCGAGGGCCGAGGGTCCGGCAGCTGGGCGGCCACGTGACCCGGTTGCCATGGCACCGGCGGGAACAATCAGGCCCCGCCCCGCCTCCCAAGTCCTGGGAAGGGCCTCCCCGCCCCTGCGGGGCCCCAGACACCCACCGAGTCACTGCAGCTTTGGGGCGCTCTGCTGAGGCGAAGGCGGCTCTGGGACGAGCACGGGTAAAGAGGGCTGGAACCCCCAGCCGAAAACGGGGGGCGGCGGAGGCTGGGGACTGCGCGGGGGCCACCGGGTGGGACGCGATGGGGAAGGAGCCGTGCGAGTCGTGTGAATTCCCAGTGGCGCGGGGGCAGCCCGGGCTTGGAGGCGGCACTGAACCGGGAGCTCTGGCCCTTGACTGTTGTCATTAGCAGGGGCAGCTACCACTGTCGAGCTCTCACTGGGTGCCGTCCACAAAACTGTCGTCTGTGCACATTGTGGAGAGGGGTACCGCGCGGTCGACCCAGACACCCCAAAGTTCAAATCCTGGCTTCGCCTCTCACTCGCTGCTAAGCTTGCAAACTTTACTTGCTCCGTGCCTCACGCTCCTCCCCTGGGAAGTGGGGGGTATTGAAGGCTTCCAGGAGCTAATGTACTGAAGAATTAGACAGTAACCCGCACGCAGTCAGCGCACAATACACCGGCGCTACGTTAGGAGCGTTATCCCATTGAATCTTTGCGACAGCCCTGGGAAATAGGCACCTGCATTCTCATCTTACAGATGAGAAATCGGAAGATTGCAAAGGTGAAGAGTAGTTGGCTGGGTGACTTTGGGCAAGTCCTTTCCCCTTTCTGGGCCTCTTTCCTCATCAGTAGTTGATGGGTGAGCATTAGAATCAGACGGCCCCTGGAAGAGCTTCTAATCCAAACTCCCTCATTTTACAGATGGATAAACTGAGGCCCAGAAAGGGTAAAAATGTTGGTCAGGGTCGCGGGCTACATCAAAGGCAGAGCCAGGGCTAGACCTAGGTGTCCCGACTCCACCCCTAGCCCCAGAGACATGCCCTCCAATGGCGAATGACATGCCCTCAGTAGTGCTGCCTCCTCCCCCCAAACTGATCCTCAAAGTGTGCACACCTTGGTAGGCCTGTCAAACCCACTGCAAAGACAGCGGGAGAAGAAAAGGAAGCTGCCTCCCCCTGAGCAAAGAACACAACCACCAAGCCTGCAATTTGCACTGGAGAGGTTCAGCTTGCTTCCTGGACATTTCTGAAATGATTTGCCTTTCTCCTCATTTATTTTGAGCCTTAGGCGCTTTTCATACCATAATTTAATCTTCTTTAGCAGTCTGGAAAAATACAAATCAATTAAAGCCTAAAACCTATTGGGTAATCACTTTTCCTCCCTCCTCCTCCAGGTAGAGAAGGGCCTGCACCCTGTGCCTTTCATCCACACTAATTTGGCTGCAGTGACTCTCGTTTGAGGGACGATCACTTTGGATAGCTTATTACAGCTCCTCTCATGACATTCCTGGCACACATGTCACAAGTTGCTAGGATCAAGAACCAAGTCAGTTTTGCTCTCAGGGGCTCTTAGGGCCACCAGCCGAGGTAACGCTGTATCCCTGGAGAACTTGGCAGCCTCAGGAAGCCCCAAGAGGGTGGCAGGGAGCTGGGCACACAAAGGGCAGCTCCCTGAAAGCTAATCCTCATTGCTCTGGGATGGGGAAAAGCAAAAGTCTAGTGGGAGTAGAAGCGCGGCCCAGGGGTCTGTCTAGTGGATGAACCCTAGAAGGGATCGGCAGCTTTTCAGCCCCTTGGCGTTCCCTCCCTCCCCAGTCATAGTCAGTCTGATGTTTGGTGTGTTCGTCACTAAGAGGCATTGCAGAGGGAGGGAGGAAGGGATCCAAATGAAAAGCTCAGACATTTTAAGTCAGGCAGCGCTAAGAGAAGTCCTGGCTCACCCACTTCCTAGCCGGGTGGTCTTAGCTGCCTTCTCTGTCATGTGAGGATAATCGCACCTAGTGCTGTGGCGGGGCCTTGAGGTAATGTATGTCCGGGATTTCCCTAGAGCCCCCCCTCCCCCAAGTGACCTGCTGTTCTCAAGAGGCTTGGGGTGAGCCACCCCTCTTCAGGCTAGGGTCTCGTTGAAGGCCCTGCACCGCCCCCACCCTCATCCTGCAAATGTCCCTCTTGCAGACCTATGGCTCTTTGTTCCCAACACTCCAACCTGCTTTCCTGCTTTGTTTCCTTCTGGGCACAGTCCTTATCTAAAATACTATTCATTTCACTCCCCCTTACTGCCTGCCTCCCACTCTGAAAGATGAGTTCCTCCAGGGCACGGGATCTCCTCTCTTCTGTCCAGTGCTGCATCGCCCAGCACCTGAGTGGTGTCTGGCACACAGTGTGAACGAACAAGTGGATGAACACGTGACGTGCTTTTCACCCCCTTGACTCAGACGCCTTCAGCAGTTCTTCTGAACGCTCAGCCTGACACCTGGGGTCCCAGCCCACTGCCATCTTCTTCACCTGCTCACCTCTTCTTCACATCCTCACCCCTCAACCTCTAGCCCAGGGTCCCACCCCTGCTGCCCATCTGCTCCACCTCTCCAAAGCCCGCCTTCTTTTCGAGTCTGGGTTCAAACCTCCCCTCCTGCAGGAGGTCAAGCCCTCAGCAGCCCCTTCTTTTGAGGTGCATGCCATGCCTGTTGTGGTGTCTCCCACCATCACACACACACTGTGTAATCACAGACGCTCTGATGACCATGCACCACCACATTCCAGGCTCCAGGGTCCACACCTTAGACCTATCATCTCATGTGACACTCACCCCAAGGCTGGGAGGCTGATGTTAGGACACAGAGGCTCAGAGAGCAGCTTGCCCAAGATCAGCCAGAACGGGTGGAACTAGGATTTGAACAAAAGGCTGTGTGACGCCAGGGCCTTATTAACCACTGCCAACCACAGCTCAGCATTATAGGGAAAGGCCAGGCTAAAAGGCACGTTCCCCCTCTTCCCTGGAAACCTATCATGTGCCACTCTCTGACTTTTCTTTTTTTTTTTTTTTTTTTTTTTTTTTTTTTTTTTCTTTTT